TAGGACCAATTGACAGTTATTACAATACGCAGCCTGTGTATCGGCTGAACGAACGATAAATTTGGAAAAACAGCGAAGTTTTAAACGACTATTATACAAATTAATCCCATTTTCTGTTGCCTAAGAGCAAAATTACTAAAGTGTCGCGCAATGTGAATCCTTTTATTGTTTNGTTATAACTGGATCAAACGCCAATAGAGAATGAACCGCGATCGCGACGCGACAGTCGAGAATATTCTTGACTGCCCTCAGTAAAAAGTCGCGCTTTTTTGATCAAAAACGATAGGAGTCGCTTCACGACATCGCGAGAACAAAGCATCACGCCCACTAAAAGGAAAATACTACTAATATATTATGGAAAATACTACTAATATAATATTACTAAAGCCCATCAAATATTGATCTAATTAAACAGGCTTAAACAATTTTTAATGAAAATGCCGAGAAAAAAATACTATTAAAAATCTGATATCAAATTTGAGTTCCTCGTCTCTTTTCATATACGTAAAATACGACGGAAGAAAAGTGAAGAAGAACGAAAAAGAAGATATCTTATCGTTCTGTATGGAAACTAAAACACACATTCATTTTAGGGAATTAAACCCTGACTTACAGTCAAGGGAACAGACCGCCGTAAGGGAAAAACCAGCCATCGATCTGCAGGGTATCTTTCACTACGTCTACATACCTATTTATAAATCAATGGGAATAAAATATAATTCACCGGTAGTTCAACAATAACAAATTTCCGTAGAAATCTCAAAGAACAGTATGGACAGGATATCTGACTTTCAATACATTCTCTACAAATTGTATGATGACATTGTGGTAGAATGAGTGGCTGAGTATGAATAAAATCATATTTACAGGAACACAATGGACAATAGAGTGGATTTAAAGTTTTGAATTTCAACTGATGTTGCAGAATTAAATTTGTAAAACGTTGATTCAATTTACCGAATCCATGATAGACAGCACAATTATCCTTCAGATATCTAAATATTTGGTAGATTAACACATTCGGTAATTGTTCAAATTGGAATAGACGATTTGGACGGCTATGCGACATTAGAGTAATCTAAAATAAAGATATTATGGAACACAGGCCGTACATTGTATAACTTATTAAGAAGCACAGAAGCGGTTCACTCTCCTGAACGCAAAAAAAGACATCTTTCCGAATGAACTGTGTTTAAAAGTAAAATGAATTTCAAAATGTTTGAGCAAAAGTTTTACTGTATTTTCTCTCAGGTATGTTTTACATTGAAAAGCACACAATTCATGAATACATCGGTAGAACACACCATTTTGTCATGAGTCAGTTGGAAAAATCCGATCGTTCTACTTCCGTTTGCTTCTTTTTTATCGTTCGTAACTAAAGCTACGGTCAATGAATCATTGTTATTACCTAAAAGAAAGAAAGAAAATTTCTCGTGACACTTAATGACTGAATCCAATTTCGTTTCATTATCTGTTAGGAATTTTCTACTTAGTTCACCAATTGCATACATCAAAGCAAAGTGTTGAATAAACTAGAGGTTTTTCCGAAGGGAAAATGTAGGTCAGCGGTTAATCTCGTATTACATGAGTGAATCGTATTTTAGTTGTACAATTTGAAAAAAAATGAAAGTCTTTTTAAAAAAATGTCGAGTGGTACATTTTGTCCTCCATCGTTTCTGAGTCTCGGGTAGAAATTTCCCAACTGCCGGTAACTTATTCACTGAGATACAAAAGTACGCTGAAAAGCACCCGAAACTCCTCGAAATCGCTTAAAAGAGGATTTACGAGTCGAGAATGGTCATAACATGATCAAAATTGATCCCCAATTTTTGTGATGCTATTCGATTCTATGATCAAAAGTGGGGTTATGAAAAAATTTTTAGCTCATTTGAACTTAATTTGACCGAGTTAGGAATTTTCAAACTGAAGGGTGTGGAGGATTTTGGAAAAAACAGGTGTCGCCAGCATTTTGCGTATAACTCAGTTAAATTTTATTCTTTCTATTCGAGCAACATCTCACTGGAAAGCCTGGTAAAAATTAAACAACGTCACATAGCTTTTCATTTTATCAGGCTTGGTTATTATGGTTAGAAAAACGTCTTTTCGAAAACTCGTCGGTTTTTCCTACTTTAGATGTCCAGATGTCCGCATTTCCCAGACCTAACAAATTTGGGAAAAGTCTCACTACCTGCACTTTGCAGAGAAGTCAATTTTCTATAAAATTCATAAAAACGTTTACAAAAAAAAGTTCGAGGTCAAGGCTAAATTTCGAAAACCAGATGGCGAACTAATGGTAATTTTCCGCATTTTTTTAGTAGTTTTGAGTTTTCTCTCAATTAAATTAAAATAAACAGGGTTATATGCGAAATCAGCGTCAAAACTACATCTAGGGATGTGATTTCGAAGTTATTTGGAGAAAAAAACGTTTTTCGATTTTTTCGTTTTGTTTTATGAGGCGGTGGACGAAACGGACGAACTAAGTTGCTCAATGAACTATCAAAAACTTTTGTCAAATTTTTAGAGCAGATAGAGAAATGTAAATCAGATGCTAATGAGCTTAAATTTTTACCAGACCTGTCTTGGTATGAGTACTATTCATCAGAAAAATTTGAACTTGTTTGAGTGAAGTGTTTTCAAGAAAGAATTTATTCTTTAGACATAGACAAAACGTCATCGGCCGTTTTTGAAAGAGGTTTTTGCAACCGAAGATGGTCCGTTTGCAGGGCTCTCTACGGTTTCGCTTGTCAAAACCTATCCGCGCACCTCGGAAAAACCTGAAAATTTTTCTTTTCAGACCAATTGAATTATACGTCACTCGAAGCAGAATGAAATTCTACGTCTGAATATGTATAAATGAACATTTCACAGTGCATAGGAAGGGAGTAATACTTTTAACATTCAATTTTGACTTTTCAGAGATGTTTTTCCGAAGCCTTCGATATTTCGCCTATACTAATTTTTTCGGAAAACAAAAAGACATGGACTAGAAAGAGAATTTTACGCGGATTCCAAATATCACCTTAATCTTGAATGATGACCTTTGATTCACTCTGTGGTCGCAATTCCATTTTACCAACTTTTAAAATTATATAATGCTAAAAGTTGGTAGAAAGGGATTTCACCGCCACGGACAAAGGACACAAGAAAAGAATGATCGTTTTATATTTTTTCTCTTGCCTTCTCTTCGTTTTGCGTACGCTGATGATTCTGGACGTGTAATTCTGCCGTGCACTGCAAAAAACGAATCTGGAAGAATTTCAAACAAGATGTTTATCGGCGTACACAAAACGAAGAAAATACAAGAGAAAAAATATAAAAAGATTTCCTTTTTTTCGTTCTAAAAGACTATGATTTAGAAAACATAGGAAAGAGATAGAAAGGACACTTCCTTCTTTCTTTGCTAGAGGCTTAATAAATGACAGAGAAAGCATTTATCTTGTTCAATGTGTCCAGCTTTAGCTATAATTTTATTATCTATTCATTCTACGAATTTCCTTCTTTTAATGGCTGCTCTTATCAAGAAAAGAAAATTATTTAAATAACCTGATTTTTATGTTCAGCATCAGATGACAATTAAACATAATCGATTGTTGATCGATTATTGCTACTCGTTGATACTACTAGTTGTTCAATGTGTCGCTTGCAAAGGACAAAAGAGAAAAGCGAATGAATATAACTATCATTGGCTTATATATATCTATGATTGTGTATATATGGGGTGAGTGGAAAAAGTTATTTGTGCATCACGACAAACATTTGTATTCAACTTCTGTTCTTGACAATACAACAAATCGTAAGAAAAACTATTTTTCCTGTAAATGAGCAACGTCTTTCACTGTTCTTGAAAAGTGTCAGTCATAGTCGCAAAATCTTCGTTTTACGAATTCTTAAAAGGACATTAGAAGAAATATAGATCAAAAAATATATATTTACAGCAACCATTTTCATATTTCTTATTTAGTACATGTTCCTTATCCTTTAAAATTGTTTTTTGTTCTAAATTATCCAAATGATTAAAATTCACCATAGATCACTGTATATTAACAATTCATGTCTATTTAGATCAAAAATCCAAATAGTTGTTTTTCTAACATGCTATTAATGCTGAGAAAAAAAGAAACGTTTCTTTTTAAACTAAATCTCTCTTTAAAACAACCAGTAAAGGCACATGCAAAATTTTTCAGTAGTTATTATTCGAATGAAATTTTCTCGAACAAGCTGAATAAATTGAGAGGTTTTAATAAAAGAATGTATATTATTTTCTATGGATTTTCACTATTGCCGCTTTCTTTCTTTTCGCTCTATAACAAGTAGAAATCGGTAAAAAACACGAAGTTTACATCCCTTGAAATTTATTATTTTATTTATTATTTTTCTGAAATTTAAAAACGTCTAAGAATCACGAAAGGAAACACTTTTTTTTTCTTGGCCGTTATATCATAACAGAGAAGAGGCAAATAATAAAAAACAATTTTCTCATAATAAATGAGAAAAATTCCTGTGTACTGGTCGTTATATTTAGTTTCTCCGAATTCGAGAGAAATTAAAACGCTTCAAGAAAACAAGACAGAATGGTCAAGAAATCACTTTACTGATTACCAGTACATGTATGACACTATTATTTGCCTCTTCTCTGTTATGATATAACGGCCAAGAAAAAAAAAGTGTTTCCTTTCGTGATTCTTAGACGTTTTTAAATTTCAGAAAAATAATAAATTTCAAGGGATGTAAACTTCGTGTTTTTTACCGATTTCTACTTGTTATAGAGCGAAAAGAAAGAAAGAGGCAATAAAAAAAGAAAACTTTTGCTGACACTCCGGACAAACCAGAGCTTTTTCTTTTATTCAAAAACAAATAGAGAGAAGAAGAAAAAAGGAATGATGATGATAAAAAAACGAAAATATTTTCATTTTTTTAAGTTTTTTAAAAAGAGAAGTTGGAAGAAAACCATCGGAGCCCATTTTTTATATCATATTAGTCCCGAAAGTAAAAGAATATGAATGTCTACCGCTTCTGCTGCTCCAATACTTCGTTCTCCACGTAGTTTTCAATGGTACTGGAATTCTAGTGTTGATCCATGGTCAGAAGAGCAATGGACAAAGTACACAGATATTGAAAATGAAATTATTGAAGATGCACTTAATGCAAACAAGGAAGAAGTAGACATTGATCGAAACTATGTTATTAGTCTGAAAGATCAATTGTAGTACAGTGCAATTGATGAATGGGGGAGATTTGCTCGAATGAAATTTCCTCGAAAGCGATATTCTCGAAAATAATTTCTTCGAATGCGGTTTCCTCGATCAGAACTTCCTCGAATGGAAACCTCCTCGAATTTTCTAAACAGAAATTATCAATATTATTTGCGGTGTATAGAACAAGCGAAACACTATAACTAAACGTTTCAGATTTTGTTTTGAGGGTAATTGCGCTTGTGCAAGAGTGGAAAGTGCACCGAATGAATTTGTAACGATATTGGCTGGTGGTTCGTTGCTATTTATTGCACAAGAGGTTTTTACAGTTTTCAGCGGTTTTCTTCGTCATAAATGAACTTTCTCGCACAAATAAGGCCAGATTTGGAATCAGCCAAAAAACTGCATCGAATGATGTATAACTCATCTAGCTTTGGTCGCTCCATTTTGAATTCTAGAAATTTCTTAGTTTTTGAGATTCACACAAACAATTTCGTGCTGAAAATTTGAATTTC